TTTCGAGCACACCGTACCCAAATAGAGGTAGCTATGAAATCTTAACTTTAAGCGCCAAAAGACAATCTCGTAAGAAACAAGCTCGTTTATCCAACAGATAGAATTTGTTATTGTTATATCTTGCGGTTGTTCTGGGTTCGTGTTCGGTAAGAAGAAGCGAATATCTGATACAGCTTTTATTTTTGAATTCGCACATTCAGTAAGCTTGAAGATCTGAGATATTTAAAATTTGTACAATTCTGTAGAGGGATCTTGGCCACTTGTTGAAAACGATTCTACTAAAGAGATCCGCGATTTCATTGAACACTATCCTCGCAGTGCGTTATTCTGTTGCTTATCGGTTCTACACCGGCTTGTTCCCTAAATTCTTATCGCAAGCGCGAAAGAGGCCACTTTAGGTCACTGGGCACGATTGATTTGAAAAATATAATTTTTAGTTATTGTCTGAAGCTTGAAAAATTATGAACGCAAATACAGAACTTTCCGAACTTCATAGGATCGGTGTTATCGGAGGCTGCTAAAAACCTAGGCTCGTCTGAGTGAGCATCAAAATGTACAATAGGAAAAGATTAACCCTTTCAAAAGCTGTGATAGCAACGATGTCACACAGGTTGCGGCTCCACTGGCTTACATAAGAATAAGCTTAACTTCCGCCGCTAGATCAGTGCTAATGGGGCTGTTATTATAAGTCAGTCTTGAATAGGCCGCAAGTTCGAATCTGGACAAACGATGCGAATGCAGGTCTTTGTTAGAAGAAGATCGTTAAGCAGTGGCGAGGAAGTTGAATAGACATTACTGAAACTGGTGTCGCAAGGATGTAATACTACTTAGAGCCGAAAATTGTCAGGAACTCTAAGGAATATAGGAGTATAGGGTTTATATGACATTGTTGCTCGCACTAAAAATACAACTGTGTGGGTCTACTTGTTCTTAAGAAAGTCTGAAAAATAAAGCCCATATTTATAGTTATAGATGGAATGCAGTTTTCTTGTAGCAGCGGTTTTGTCAGGGTGCTTCCGTCATAAATTGTATTGAATTATTACGTGATGTGACGATCAGTCAGAAGTCATACAGAACACTTCGATGAATTCACGAAGATGGAACTAGCAACATTGGACAGAATAGAGGTAGATCAAATGGAAATCGCACAGATTAAAATGCTAAGGCTACGCTTCGCTTGTAGCGTACTCATTTCTCTTGAAAATCAGTAGAATACAATGGATTAGGAGGCAGTACTGTGGGGCATTATAAAAACCGCTTGGATACGACGCGGAGGCCCGTTGATGATGCTAACGGTTTGTTCCGGTGGCCTAGAATGAATGGGAATATTTGATAAATTACTCCGCTGATTAATGTCTGAAGATGTTACAGATTGACCCGCTACGCGTACAAATCCACACAGTAGACAGGAAACATTTTGGTGACATTTAAGCTGACGTAAGGCCACAACAATTGTCTGTTTTCATAGGTTGTCAAATACATGGAGCCTTTTCCATCTCGACACAACGCAGCAGAAATGTGTTATGACGTTCTGTTATTTTTGATCATAAAAGCTTCAGTTCAGGCTTCGTGCTTTGGCTAAAGCGTTCCCAGTGAGAGAGACCTTAAAATTAATTCTACATACATTGTCCCGTTCGAACACTTATCTAAGAAATTCGAACTTGTAAAACTATTATTCGGTTCTTTTTAATTACTTCACAATAACGAAATATAAATTTTTTAACAGTTTTACGTTGTCTGTCGCTATGCGTCTGCTGCTGCTGCTGCATATCAATGAACGTGTACACTTTGCCTTTTCTAACTTTTAATACTGCGCTTTTAATAACTTTTAATAAAGAAAATGAATCGCAGCATAGATAAGACGGTATAGACGGCTTTTCGTCGTGTTAACAAGAGAGCCTATTCGAATGCAGATTCCCATCGGGGGACACGGAAGTTTACGATGTTTCCAAGCCTAGCATTTCAATAGATGGTAGAAATTTGGACTACTAATTAACATAGTCCGTATCGCATATAGCACCGTAGGGTAACTATAATGTAGATAGATTTGTTAACGATGCACGGAGATTGTCATATACAGAGAATGGAGAAAAGGATACGTTTTTTTTCCAAACTGAACACCTTATTCGCGCAAAAATCATTGCAGAAGACAAGCTCAAGACCGACTCAACATGTTAGATAGCTCAAAAGCTCTGAAAATGCAATGGACCTGATGTCATCGCGTCTGATAGGTTGTTTTCGCCTATCTTGAATAGGTAGATTTTTTATTCTGCTAAAGAATGAACAAATCGTGCCCGATCGTCCGCCTACCTGCCTGCCTGCCCGCTTGCGTCTGCAATTTGTGGGGTTTCACTACGATGCTGTTAGGAACAGAGTCCCACATGTTAAGAAAATAGTATATTTTCTTAACATGTGGGACAAACTCGACTGATTTTCCACACGGCGTATCTATACGTAAATATAGTTGCAGGGTTAGAACGAGGTTGAAAATTTGCTTGGAGCTTTTCGGAAGCGTTTGAAGCGTTTTGAATAACTGTCTATTTGTACGTACACGTACGAGAACGTGAAAAATGCTCAATATCACAGACTTGATCTAAAATAAAAGAAAAAGAGGACTTCCATTAAATCGTTGGTATACGGATGACTGCTTTTGTCTTATCTATCTTAAATCCGTAATTATCTACAGTTATTCTACTTCAGCTTTTCCCAAAGGCCGCAATCATATCGTATACACATTCATTCAAAGTGATTCAGTAATTCTACTGTCACTGCATTTTTATGCTGGCCTTTCTGGGTCATGCTTTACTGCATTAGATAAAGCTGTATGCTTTTATAATCTAGTGCTATCAAGTTCCCTGACACAGACGGCTCGCGATAGCACTCTGACGGCTTCGGACACGGAAGTGTTCAAGGTCGTTAATAAGTAAGTCTGCCTTCGGTCCTCCTAAAAAATAACGAGACACACTCGATCTTGGTATTATAACAACAGTTTGTATCAACGATAAAATTCGACCTCTAGTAACCACCTGTACGACGATGTTTCCATTTCCTTTATCGGAACGTAAACGTATGTTGAAATATTTCGAATCTTCATAACGCAGCTAATCTTCTTTATTAAATGTAATTTTATTTTTAAGTGAATATATGCTGTCTACACTGCCTGCAGTTTGGCTAAAGGCTGATGTCGGAAAAATTACAAGTGTTTCGCAGAGGTCGCTTTACAAGTTTCCTGTAAAAGACGTTCCTGCTTTCAGCTTTGTAGAGACACTTTTGTATACATGCAAGCATCAAAAAGATATTTTTAAACATTTTTTTATTAGCATTTAAAAATTTTTCGGGACCACTTTTTTTAGGGAATAGTATAAAAGATTTTTTTGCTAAAAGTCCGACCGGAGTAAGTCCTTCTAAACTTACCTAGGGTTTCTTAAACATGTATATGATACGGCATGGGAGCTACCTATTTGTAATTACTAAAGTAATATTTTGTTTTTATTTTTCTCTTGTATTTTGTTCTCCTGATTACAAATTTCTGGTAACGATTTTTGCCAACCCTGCTTGGCAGCATGCTTGCTAATTATGGCTAGATGAAGACATTTTAGAAAAATTAAGCCAACAGCAATGATGTTTACGATCGGGATATCCTACAATACATAAATAACGATGGGAACCAAACTCAAGGTCAATATTTACATTCACAGTCTCATTAGGACACACGGTAAGTAATTTAAAAACGTGTAATTAATTTATCATACATACATTTGCCGAAACGTCAAGTGTAATGCTTTACATAAACAACATAATAATGAAAAATGAGAACTGTTCTAAATTCTCAAAAAAAGAAGTAACTTAATCGCTATCTCACAGCAGTTTTTTGTTATTGAGAAAACATCACAGAGCCTAAACACATTGCTTTAGCTAACTTTCCCAGATTAAGTAGACCGTGACACAGCTATACTTAGTCTGCCTAGTGAAGAATATCTTATACAATAGTCCTAAAAAATCAGGCTGTTCTCTCCGATATTCTTTCATCTTCCGGAGTACTATGAGTGTTTGGTTCACCGTCTGTCGCTATTTCCCTCTTATTGGATAGTGCATAAACGTGCTTTACGGCGCGTGATCCTTCTGCGACTTCCTGCCGACTGTGATCGTAGGCTAAAATTCACAGAATATCAGACAGAATGCATCTAGCAACGGATCGTTTCACTGGCTCGCCCCCGAGTTCAGCCGAGTGTTTTCACGTTATTTGGCGACTACTACTGGACCGACAGCACCAACTGCGAAGAGAGTAATACCAACAATAATAAAGGTACAAATCCAAACCGTGAACAAGGTCGGGCATCGACGACCTATTAACAAAACCATCACTAAAAATAGCTGGCAAAACTGTAACAATGTATTGGCTGAATAGCAGTTTGCCCTGCAAGTGTCATATCTGTCGATGGGCTAGCCCCTTGGCTTGGGGCCCTTTCCCTTTTTGTCCGTTAGCTCCAAGCGCTTTGGCAGCGTGTCGCGGTAACATGCATCGTTTGACAAATACGTCCCGTAAGGCTTCATTCTGTCGCTACGCGATTCTTGGCACTGCCTTTACTAGTTCCTAAACCATTTCGCTTTTCGTTAATGGAGGAACAACATCCAAAGTGTCCAAAGTTTTGTCTTCATTTCTCTTTTGTGTTGCTAAAAGAATCTTAAAAATCGCAATCTGCCCTTGTCGCACATAAAGAGAGAGACGACCTGAATGAATAAAATTGGTGGCCGCAGGGAAATCTCATATTTCTACACGATTTTCAAAAGTCGTAGTAGTTGTTGTTGCTCTTGCTAGCTCGCTTGTGAAACCCAGGCGCGTGTAATATTCAAGGCCTGAAGAGTTGTCTGGCATTAGAGCTTTGCTTTCGAACAACTACACCCATACGTATCGGAAATTACAACAAACGAAAAATGAATTAAGATGGAAAACACATTGCCTACCTTTGTTTATATTGTTTTTATTTGTCGTCTTGCCATACATATATGTACATTCATTCGGTGTATATATCCATTTCTATAGGAATTTATCACGTTTTTTTTTTGCTGTTCGATATCTCTTGCTCTATACTACTTTCCGGTTCTGTATATTTTGCCCAGTTTATATTTGATTTTACTTAATTAGAATGGCAATAAATTCACTAACTTTCTTTATTATTTAAAATATTTATAGTATTAGGCTGTATATCGCCCAGTCAATTTTCGAGTCGAGCAGATAATTCCGGAACGATAGAATGTTTGTTCGCCACATGGAAGCTTGTTGTGTATGTGCTTCTAAGTTTCGATTTAAGCACAAGACGAGCGTCTTACGACAAGAACATCGACTTGAGAAATGTGGCGTACTATCAGCGGTAAGAAAAATGGCTCCATTGCGATATCATACATCGACAAATGTACATAATAAATTCAATTTTTATCAAATCACACCTGAAGATATTGATCGCTCATTTCGCATATCTATATATATATATATATATAAGAGCTCGCGAGATCCTCAACATCACAGTTTCGACTATTCACTTCAGTTGATTCGTTAAGATAAATATCGAACTCGTCTTTCTCTTTCAGTTGTTTATTTGGTAGAAGTGCACGTTCAGAAGTTTCAAGCCACGTTGATCAGTGGGCTTGTCATTCTGCCAATTTTCGGTCGAAGCTGAAGAGCTTAGAACATAGATAGTGTTACATAACTGCATGACAGCATGCCACTGCACGGAACGTCTTTCGGGATATTTCATTCTGATACGCTGAGATGTTCGAAAACCTTAACAAACAGCACTTCCATTTCTGCGGTTAAAAAGACCTGGGCAAGCTTGTTTTGTGAGGGCGAGGTTCTGGGATTTCCTTTGGGATAAAGGATTCATTTGAAAAATTACTTCAAAATAGCTTTTTCCTCCTTCCGCTCAATTACACGCTTGCGATAGCCATGTACCCATCGACCAACCATCGAACACATGTCCGCTGTGTCCCGTTCCTTGACTGGTTCTTTTTTTTACTTCCCTCAGGTGTGCCTGCCCCATTATCCGGCAAGGCCCGCTGGAGCTCGGCGGATTTTAGACAGCGTGAAAAGAGAGATCTCCGACTGCCGCGCCATCGTGCAAATTCCAGTGAAGTAGCGAGTAAACTGGTCTACAGCTCAGCCGACCTCTTGACTTCGGCCATCGCAACCGACTTCTTCTATGCACCAGATGCTTGGATCACGAATACAGCCTGCGAGGCAAAAAGTGATTATGCGGACTCTATTTGAGAATTATTTGGCATAAGCTTTAGGCTATCAATGCAAAATGCAGCGCATAACAAATAATGGATCTAATTATTGCAGCTAAGCACGAAGATGGATTCAAGCTCTCAGTGGGATTTTGACTTAGGGTATCTTATTGATCTTTTATGGAATGTGATAATATGTGTTGTTATTAAAATATTATATGCAGTGAGAAAGTGAAGAGTGAAATGTGATTGTATGGGTTGGGTTATTTGTCTTGAAACGAAGCTTAGGAAGAAAACTATTGCACAGTCCTTGTGACGAGTGTTTTCACCGTATAATCTTTTTACCCTCTACCAATACTCGTTTTACCAGGCAAAACCAGTGACCGGATACATCTAGGATTATGCAGAAATGAGGATTAGGTTTTTTAGGTAAAGGTTACTACTGTATTATTCGTTTCTAGTGTCGTACTAGTACATCTAGTAGCAGAGATCTCGTTGGCGCCATTACGAGCAACCGAATCATGAGCAGGACAAAAGTTGAGACAAGAATCAAGTCACCTGAGCTTTTATCCTAACAGCAGTAATGACGAGAATTTCTACCTTTGATTGACGGTGTGTCCAGAAACGTCACTGTAGATCGCATTGACACCGAGCGATTACGTCTCAAGAGACTCCTAAGGGCAACCGGTGAAGTTCTCGTCGTAGTACAAGGATTGCATGTTGTCGTATGGTGAATCGGTACGTGAGGGACCATTGATGAATCGTTCGGCAAACATGTAGCTATGTGGTTTGTTTTCTGGATGAGACTCGCGCGGCTGACTAACGGGCCAGCGTCTACTGCGTGTACCCTGGCCATCGGGTCGCCAACCATTACCGAGCCCGAATGCGTTAGAGGCACTGGCAGGGCCAAATCGAACTTCATCGAGCCGACAGATACCAGGTTGCCTTCAGAGTAGCGTTTACGCTCCAATGCCCGCTGTTGATTGGACATCCCGAGCGAAGAGTACGAGGGGCGATGATCTCCTGCAGTGAAGCAATACGCACACAAAAATAGAACAAGCCATTTAAATAGAATCAGAATATCGCTTCAGCAGCTGATGCCGTAGCAGTCGACGCGGTCCCAAGAGAAGTTCGGCGTGTAATAAACAACCTGCAATATTCGTTCTGTGCTAATGTAAACAAACACTGACCGACCAGATGATATAACTTTCGCTAGAGTAATTTACGACGGCTGTTTACATCTCGTTGACTATAATGTTTATGTATGTGGGGCAGGTCACAGGATAGTTTAATGCATAGTGGGATACCTCGAGATCCACGTGGGTTTTATGAAGGGTCACACCGTGTCGGAGTAGCAGTGAAGCGATGGAAATGATTTTATAATTTTTATCTTAGTTTTATAAAATTTAGTACACTAAATGACCGGTACTAGCGTAAGGCGAATCAAGTTAAATCATCAAGCATTTCTTCATATACCAGACGGAAATAACGACAAAAGTAATCATTTACTGCTGCGCTCCAAGAAAACTTTTTTAATAGTAAATATTACTACTAGTAGTATTATCATGAAATGACTCACTATACAAAGCAGCTAAACACTTCAGTTGTTAGCACGGGTTTGTTGATTTAATCTTAATTTCATCTCAAATGAGCTTTTTTTTTTTGTACTTTGTACTGTCTAAAGGATAGCTGAAAGAGCTTAACAGCCGTAAAGGTGCCCCGACCTCATTTAAATCATGTGGGTACTGAGCTGACATCAAGAGCCAATATATAAAGTTAAAAAATGTAGAACTTGTCACGTCAGATTCTTGCAGTCTGTATAGAATTCTGTGCCGAAGCGTTGGCCGTAATGCAGGAAGCGTCAAAAAGGTGCCTACAATGTCATATAAAGATATACCTTTTTAGACTGTCCAGTCCGGATTTTCCTTTTGAATACTTTCCAGAGAGGAAATTCCAGCTTGGTCAGCTACTGGTTCGTTATGTGAACACTGATACGCCAAAGGTCCTTTCAAATGATTTACTCAAACGCTTTAGGTAGAACAGCTGTGAATGACGGAAGTAAAGTTTAGGGTAAACGCGCTGATTTCCGTTTGGGTACTATGTATGGTTAGATCTAGCCGATTGAGGTCTGTCTCACAATTCCTAACAATAAGCATCGTAGAGTGGTTATACTATATCAAGCATTTGAAGATAGACAATGCTTTCAAATCGAACAGTTGACCCTATACAGTTCTTTTGAGGGCTCGATTCCAACTTACGTTCTGATGCTAACCACAACTTCTTGCAGGGAATTGAATTGATTAGATCTTGCACATGCCCTTGCGGTCCTAGAGTACGGCTATGAGTATCTAATCTAATAATTACAATTAAAATTTAGGGGGATGACGGAAATCGTATTACAATGCTCGCAAGGCGATGCGCTAGTCAAACTTAGCACACGGCACACTTACAAACACGAGACAATGTACGTTACGTGTGAAAGCTCCTTTTCCAAAGAGCGCTCGAAGTTACTAGAAAAGTGCTTGTAAGTTCCCCGAAACAGCTTATCATAGCTGCTGCCGAAGGCTCGAATTGCCTTGTTGAGAACGAGCCTAACCCTTACACCTATTGGGAAGAATCTAGCTGTATTTATTTTGGTAAACGGTCAGAAATTTCTTTGTCTAAACTTAAAAGTATGGAGTCAGCAGAGAGCTGCAGTTGGGTACAGATAATGTGATATCGAACATTTCGGGATAAACCTGTGCCTTGCTGATCGTCAACAACAACCGAACAAATGTTATCCGCAGCACTAAAAGGACCACAGACAACTCACATAAGGAAAAACAAAAGCAATTCACGGCGAAGCGAACTACGAAAGGAGTTGACTATTACAATTAGTGATATGAAGAGGATACTTTAACCCGATATACCGTCCGTTTAAAATACACGCGAACCATATGGGTCCGTATCGGGGACGAGACAATTTCTTTACCGTGATTTTGCTTATCTAACGTCCATATCGAGTTGTTCTCTGTGAAACCGAAAACAAATCGACTTTCGAAAATTAAGCATATACCGTTTTATGTCAGAAAAAATAACTGACATTTTCCAACGTAGGCCACGCATACAACATAGTTAGGAAACGTTAGTGTCGGCTAACAACCTTGCTGGTCGAGCTTCTCTTCCTCGTTCGCAGGACCCGTAACGTGCGGACTTCAACTGATTTCGTTTCACTTACCTTGGGAATAGGTGGAAGTAGCGCGTAGCCCACAACAACGGCACAACGTATGCTTAAAAGCGGCGCGGTACTTCTTGGAGATGACGTTATATAGAATCGGATTTATGGTACAGTTCACAAAGTAGAGGCATCCTGCATTCGAAAGCAGAGGAAAAAGTGAACAACCCGTATTAAAGCAAGAGAGGCATTTTTGCCCTCCCATAGATACACATTTTTGCTTCGTTACGCGCGCATATGCGCAGACTTAGAAGACCGTTATAAAAAGTGTTCAGAATAATGTACATGGCCTTTCTTTAAACATGGTGGAACGTTTATTTATATTGCTGCATTGAACCGCTTTACGAATCCCCAGATGCTTTCCTCTGTTCGCCCGTTTTCTGTTAATGTGCTGGTCTACCTCCAGAAGTCGACTTACAAACAGTAGGTCTTATACTTGCTTGCTGAAAGGCCTTAAGATGTTAAAGGCTAACGTAACAATAGGTAAAAATGGTAGCGACCATTTGTGACTATCGCTTATTAAACGAAAGGCAGTAGATATCAATTATACATATATCCGACACGAGTGAGCAACCCGCCCACAATGACTGTGGACCTCGTACTAAAATGAAATAACATTCACCTTAAGCTCAAAGCATCGGGAGCACGAAAAATCGAATTTTTAAATACATTTATACGCAGGTCTTTACAAAGATCTTTGTATTTTACTCGTACATACCAGCGATATAAAAGAGTTCTTCATTGAGCGCTCGTAACCTATGTGTCCATCCGATATGAGTCCCATAAGCGTACATCAGTCGTTGTCCGTGGTAAGGAGCGTAACAGATGAAAAATATTATTACAACACACACTGGAATAAAAGCATAAACACAGTTAGACATTAAAGAAGTTGCGAAACGTATACGAAAAAATGAAATGTTAACTATAAAAAAAACTTAGCGCCCTCTGGAAAACATATTATTTGTAAAGCGACATGTGCGCCATCATAGTCTAACGGCGAGTAAACGCAACGATCAAACAAGTCGATATAGTTCCAGTATGATGTGCAGTACTAATATTGAGCGTTACTTTGGACGGCCGCAGGGCTGTTCCAGCACGAACTGGATTGAATTCTGCCTTATGTGTTCTTAAGCCTGGTAGGCCAACACGTTATTACTAGACAATTCTGCGCGTCATCCCTAAGGCAGATAGCGTCAGTGTTCCAGCCGTTGGCGCTTATTGACCAGTGAAACTGATTCAACTAAATTGACCCCTACAGACAGAAGTTATGGTTATCATGAAATGGTAGGATTTATTAAGACTGCAGTGAAATGTGCATCGTATTTTCTTATTACGATACTATTGTTGAAGCCCTGGTCAAGTCAGTGAATCCAAGGCTTTGGCCTAGATTTATTGCACTGTGTGTAGCAAATAGCATTCTAAGGGGCGTGTGCCTGTTGAGCTATGAGAACAAATTCATATCGAAGCAACAGAAGATTCTTAAATACAGCGTATCTGTTCGACAAATCACATTTGGATCGATCTGTTTCACAATACCTTACTGCGTACTAAAGGTGAGGCTGTTTTATATACTTTCTCGAGCGTTATCAGATTATGTCGACATGCCACTCGAGCCTGTTATCACGTACTTGACACAGAGATTTCACAGAGATGGGATCGCGCGATAAAGGAGCCACGTGAGAATCGAATCTATCCTCAACAGTTTTGAGGGTTGAATAATCAGGTGCTCAAATGCTCCCTCCACTGCTTCTGGTTGCTTGCATGTTATGTTGTCACCCTGATACGAACGTTGCAAAAAAATTACGCCGTTCCAGTCTATTCGGATCAATGCAATATTCCCTGCTACTATCCGCCGCATGGCTTGATGACGTGTTGCCTGACCAGCCGTGCTACGCTGCCGCGAGGGACGTGGCTCGTGCTTATTCCATGCCTCTGGTGTGTACCCGTTCTAATTTGATGCCCCCCACCAGTACCTCAGTCAATTTTTGCATTTTGTCTGTACTGGCTCCTTTCTACAACCTTTTTCAGCTTAAACATCCAGCGTCCTAATGTTGTTCTTGACCTTCACGTGACAACATTTTACCAGCATTAGGGGCCGCAATGGCAATAATGCCAACGGTAATTCCGCAACAAATAGATGATGGCTGTATCAGGAAACGCACGTAAGTTAGTAGATAAGAATTCTTATAACTTCCATCGTGAGCGCGAGATTTTTTTAAGTCAGCATCGCGGACTGCCTAAAGCATTCCATTGAGAGAAGTTATGGTCGTTTAGGAGCAACGGTCCGTCGAGTGAGTAGGAACAAAGAATAATATTTCGAAGGCCCATTGGATAAAGGAGCTCTGTCCCCCAGGATGAAGTCGACATTATAGCCAGAAGAAGCGCTGAGACATGTCTCGTTTAATTGGCAAGTTCATCTACTAAAAGGCTGTTTACTTTAAAAGCACGTCTTTATCACGCTGTCGTACGTTAGAACATCTTTGTCATTTCCATTGTCAGCGATTTTACTAAGGAGATAACTAGTTATATTTATCTAGGCTATTCATGTACATTTGCAGAAAATCACACATATGTGCGTATTTGTATGTATATAAATTATAATAGAACCAAGTGCCTCAAAAAATCGTACACGCTACCGTTGAAAATAGCTCTCCCAGCCACACCCTTGGAAGGTGCTGCTGTTCTTCGTTTAAAACGTGGACACCTATATTTTTTTTCTAGTGATTCTAGGATTCAATGTAATAAAGCAACTCTGAATAAACTTACACTTTAAAAGCACGTTACTTTTGCCTAAAAAATATATATTTAACAGGTGGTCATAAAACCGCAGTCAATAGAAAAAATGACCGATTCTCACCGAGAAGTTTAATAATTTTTCGCGAACTTGACAGATGATGTTGTTGTTGTCGAGTGCCATTAATGAGCGAAAATTTCCTTACAGGTTCACTCGTAGTTGTTCCAGGTTTCATTGTTTCTCCCGAAGATAACGACTCTTTAAGACTTGCTTGATACGCGCTTTTGTACGAAGTGGATCGCCGTAACTTAAAACCTATTCTCATATACAATATTATAATAAAGATCATTGGCAAAATGAAGAAGGTCACGGTGGAGCCGACAAAAAGCGCTATGTTCACGCTGTCGGATCCCTGCACGATACAAAATGCCGAGTCATCTAGTTGGATGTCATTTACTGTAACAGCAATTTCACAGAAAAACAGGATTTACTATTTTAAGTTATTTAAGTGTTAGAGAAAATTTAGAAGATCTTTTTTGATTTGATCATCCGAGCAAGTGAAATTTATTTCGTAAAAAGAGCCTGGCACGTTCGATTTAAGTCGTTCAAAGAAATAATAATGTGTAATGGAACATGGAGGCAGTAATTTAACATGTTTACTATTGATGGAACATATATTAAAGCTATATAATAACCTTGAAAAAGAGCTGTAATACCACAGTACTAAACGATAACAAAAGTGTTTTTTCTATGACGAGCTTACTATATGTGTCAGCATAGCTCATCCTTACCAAACTCATATCGAAGTCCACTACGGGCAGCAAATGGCAACGCAGACACGAATGCAATAAGCCAGACAATGGTAAGGATTTTCAATACCCGTGGTAGTTGATTCGACATTTTGTGCTTATACAGTGGATGACAAATGGCCAGGTACCTGCAAAGAGGGACCAATATTAAACCTCAATTATTCCTAACGGGTGAAATTTGAAGTTACTTTGATCAAGCCCGAAGGATACGAGCGTATCATATACGAATTTTACTACGTCCAAAACATGTTTTCTCTGTTGGCATGTTCTGTAATGGACGAATTCAAGTGGCATCAAACAATTCGGCTACCTCCACAACAGTCCCCGAAGGGGTTGTCGTACGTACCTTTCGAGAGTGAAGGCCACTATGGTCAAGACCGAAGTGTTACTTGTCATCTCGGCGACAAGATTGCGAACTGAGCAGAACGTTGAGCCAAACGCGTACGGATATTGACGCCAGTAGGTCACCAGATCATTCGGAAGACCTTTGAAGAGAAAAGCGAATCGCGAAACAAAGGGCTCGTAAAAATTTAATTCGTTACAGAGAACTATTAAACGTGATGAAGTTTTAGTACGTGAACGAAGTATGATTCACAAATGACCAAATCAGCCTTCCATCACGAACTGCCAGACAGGGGTGAAGAACGTGGTTCGGAAGTAGCAAGTCTGCTGCTACTAATTCTATGATAAGCAAAGCTTTTTCAAATGATACAGTACATCAGACGTAGAGGTCATCTAATCTGATTGAATTGAAAAAAAGACGTCACATTTATTTTGCGTTAAGCAGATATAGCTCGTATGAATTTTTACCTAGACTAGTAATAACCTAAGGGGAAGGTTGAGACTAATTTCGTTTCGCATGATAACGAGATTAGCATATGGGCTGGATGGGCAAGATGATTTCCAAACTCTGACATGTGACCTTATCGTACTCTATAGGCATGTGACCATTAACTACGTGGAGATAACGTATACGAGCCTTTCGGAAACGATTGAACGTGGACCGATCGTAAGTCCTTTTGTGAAAATTGGACAACGAAACGGGGCATGTCGCGTGCAGGTGAGCTATAAAAAAAAAAAGGCTAATTTCTTTGCCCCTTTGGCTCATCAATCATCTGGCTTTTTTAGGCCAGTCGGCAAGGTCATCAAAATGACCTTGGCCTTGACATGCAGAGGAGGCTATCATGTTCAGAACGGATAGCTTTCAGTCCGAGTGACTTCTAGAGGCGCTTCTGTAAAGAAGACACTGCATAATTAGGGCAAACGTAGTTAATAACTAGACATAAATTCATCACCTAAAGCCAACAAGAGCATGAGCAGAAACCGAACAAGCTAGCGAGGAGATTTTCGTTTGTTCTAATAAATGCCTGGGCCAGCTGGTCGCCAGCGAGAGTGGTTGGGAAAGAACACGGGTCAATGGGCAAACTATCCTGGGCGAGCCGAGTCAAGTACGTGAAACTTTACTCCGCTGCTAATCGCTGCCAACAAAAGGATTGGCTGTGTACGTATGTTGCCACAGAGGCGCCTCTCGAACAGTGTCTGGTACACAGACACACGCCGTGTGTCTGGGGCGCAGGCCTAAGACGACTTGAAACAAAGCGAAGAGAGGGAAAGCCTAAGCAAAGAGATAGTGGTAAATCTATTTAATGTTCTTGTCTAATGCATGTTATCTGAGGCCGAGTATGGTAACGCACAAACATAACACAATTTAACCTTCCTATATACAGACCAGTTAAGATCCACCATTGGTGCCGGTATACGTACGAACGGCAAGTTGTCCGTAATCAAACCGACTAGTAGCGCCAGGGAACTATTCTAGTTTTCTGAAACGTCTTCGGTAATTTCGGTAAAATTCGGAAAAAACGTCCTACTGATAATTAACGAATTTAATGGACCGTGCGATCTACGAGGTAGTAATGATCAGTTTCGTCGTCACATAACACTCAAGCCAATCGGGCATGACTGAGCGATGAACTCGCAGTAGCATGCAAACTTCTATAGAGAAGTAAATCATAATCAGCGTACTTATTATTACATTCGGTGTTATTAATAACTTCGTAAACGAATTCCGTGGTCTAGAGTTTATTTGAAGTCGTTTATTTAGGCCTAGTTTAGGTCGACATAAGGTTATGTCAATTACTAATGCTTATAGCATTAAGTAAATAATGTTATATTTGTTGTTTGAACTATACTATTTACCGAGAAACAACAATACTGTGTACGTCGATGGCAATCAGAAAAAGCTATTCCTACATAACAGCGTCGACACTCGTAAACAAGATCTTCTACCACCAGCCCTTTCCTTGAATAGATACAGACGGCTGATGATAATATAATAATAACACTCTTATCATGCCTCCTTCACGAAATGGAATATTTGTTCTAGACATCGCTAGCGAAACAAAATAACGTTGGCAAATAGGCATATTACCGCGAAGGTACCATTGTTATTTCCAGACTCGAGCCGTTGCTCTATAAACTACTACCGTGAAAATTCCCGCCGCACGGAAACGCGAGCAAAATTCTGCTAGTGTTGCTTCGATCTTCAATTCAATTGAAGAATCTGCTACAATTTAGATACTTACGTATCGATTAGAGAGGGTATTTTATTATTTAATAACGACAAACGCTACAGCTGGGTACAGAGCTGCATTGGATAGCATTCGGAAGACATCTATTGAAAACGTCGTTGAGACACACATCTACTGTCTGGCAGGAAAGTATTTATAATGGATACTCAAAAAAAAAAACCCCAAATAGCAAAACATGCTAACGTACCTATGGGGCTAAGATTCACTCCATATGGAAACCATAAAAATTTGCCTGATTAAGTAAGTGAACTGAAATTCTTAGATACTCTCTGCCTCAATCGACGCTTAACAGAATATCCGCGAGCGAAATTAGAGTTAAATGATGTTGCGCGTATACAACAAATTGATTTTATAACGTTTATGTTTATCGGTCATGAAAAGATTTACGACGTTTCCTTTAGCAACGTATCGTTATGGGCAGATATGCAAGACCTATGTCAGATTCGGGTCATTGAAGTGTTTAAGCACGCGTCCTGGAACTATGACTATTGGCATAAATATGTGCTCCAGTCACGTTTTTTCTCTAAAAAAATGTACTATTTTCATAAATTTACGAAAATAATAATTAATAATTCGTCCTAATAAAACGCATTCCAATAGGTAATGCTACAAGAGCGGTTTTGCTGCATTAAAGTCGCTATAAACGATTTAAGTGGTGCCCCATCATTCCGACAAAAACATCTCGTCGTAAAGCAAACTATCTTTCTCGGAATATCTTAAAGGAATTATCATGGCAAATCTCACCTATGAAGGCTATATTTTTACTGTTATCTATAAGGAGCGTTGTCAACACTGATCTTTTCGAAAGTACCTTTTATTTGATGATCATCGCAGATGGGTCTTTTCCTACATACGACCATATTGAAAGCAAAAAATGGCTACAATAAGCTTCCTTTTTTCCTACTGGAAACCAAAAGCAGGTACTGGACCGACCCCTTTTTTTAAGACCATTTTTGAGCACCAAATTTCACTGAGCACCAACAACAGGACCGGTAATTGCATTTCATAGTGTTATCTTTTAAGTCAATTCCGGCTAAAATCAGGTTTCCGGTAGGACAGCGAAAACTTTAGTGCTGTGAACGACATTGTGGAACGTCTCGTATTTTCAAATAATGAAAAATCCTTGATTATTTGTAGAAACCGCCGATAGCGTCTTGGCGACGTCGAAGCAAAGGTAAGTACGCTAACAGTAGAGCAATTGCCAATTGGGGTAACTCAGGGAAGTCTAGGAAAAGCAAGAGTTGCTTTGAAAGCTAAAACTTGAAAAAATGGTGCTTTACACTTTTTTCTAATTTGGGAAAGAAACAGCCTACATAAGGAGCTTGAATTACCTTGAATATGGTGTATTATAAATAAAGGGGCCAGACATCATTGGATCCGAGGGAAAAAGTCAGACCTACTTAAGATGTTCGCTTACAACGGCTTAGTTCAGATATGTCTTCGTGGTCGAACGATATGTATTCCATAATCTAATAATAAGTTTCACTCAAAATCGGCACATATAAGACCCTATCGTGTCGCATCTGCCTTGTAGAACTAGAACTGGAGACATCATATACCTGAATTTCTGACTCTGCTTCTACTCCATTTAGATGGACAGGATCGAAGTAAAGGGAATCTGTCTAAAAAATATATCTCCTATACCTAACGGATACTAGATTAAATATTATTTATTTAATAGTATATGCTTTCTAGGACAACCTGTGTATGCTGCAAAATAAATGAGCATTAAATGCTCTTTTGGTAAGCAGCTTTTAGAGGTAGGTCACATTCTTGCGCTCAGCTTAAAGTGCTCACACTGGAAGACCTCAGAATCACCACTTACGTATGATAAGTAAATCAGGGAAACCCGCTTTATGTAAATGTTTCGTTTTGTCGGGTGTTGAGCTTAAGTCCGAGACAGAACAGGTCGATATATGCAATGTGTCATCAATTTGTCGATACTGTAGTTCTAGTGCAGTTGAAAATGATGACAATTAGGTTCCCTATAAGCTGGAGTTTCCTAATGTTGCGGCTGTTGCTGTAGCTGCAGTACTGACGAATAGCTTGAAGCGTGACGATATTGATTGGCTTCCAACAAAAGAGCGTTTATCATTGGCGGAGAGTAAAGTATATTACTACGATGACAAAAGTCTAGAGCACCGTGACTGGAGTTGACACGCGTTTGAGTAAGGCAAATTTCGTAAATGTTGTTCTCTTCGTCCAGCATTTGGGGCACGACTGGACGAATCTTTTTGCTTGTGCTTTGAGCCAATAATATTTTTAGTTTACTGAGCTGTAAGCTTTTATCGAGTTCGGGTGCCCTTCATAGGCAAAAAAAAAAGCGAGGAGGTTTTCTCCTGATCTTGCCCTTGTAATACCGGATGGGAATTATAAGGGCAAGATCATTGCCTCGATAAGCGAATTTGCGCTTGCGTAGACTGTCGCCCACGAACGTGAGAACCGTAAATGTGAACGGGCTTGAATAGCAATTTGTAGGATAGAATCACCTTCACATCGATGGCTTAGTCGAGCCTAGTTGCTGCCGCTTGTCGGTCAGATCCTCAGCCATTACCTTGTTGCACAAGGCTGGCTATATTACAGAGACAATCTGCAGCTCGGTGTCCCTGTCTTTGTGTTCTTGACGTTGCAGGGCTCAGCATGCCAGTTGCTTAATTAAACCTTTAGCAATCATGAACTAACAGAGTTATGGTGGTCTAATATGACTGGAACCTTTTCATTGTTTTGACGATGGCTAAGAATTCATGTTCGTTGAGTAACTTTCTTCGGTCTTCGTTGTTAGTGTTATTCTGTCAATCGGGACCAATGTCTCCCGTTTGCATGCGGGTATTGGTATTAACGCAATGCTGAAATCGTATGTCGAAACGCCAGCCAAGCAGGTTCACATGAAACAGAAAGCAATGACATGAGTAAAGTCTATTCGAAAAAAGTAAAGGGTTTAACTTGAGAGTCATTTTATACGAAGGATACTTTACCATCCTTTAGCAAGTAATTGAGATATGGGATCTCAAAGAGCTTTTAACTGAACTTTGCTCTACGGTGGTAAAGGTAGCCAATCTGTTAATGCTCCGGCCTTTGATACGTTACGAAAATACCTACACAGCTTTATGGCACCGAAGAAGCAATTAGTCTAGCTAGTCAACTATCTCTTATAAGGGTTAGTTGTGTTCGTGTAGATCTTTCCAGATGACGCAGATGTCGTTCAAACACACTAAATGGAAAAGTCTGCGAAGTATTAAAGTAGTAAAGCTTGTTCTGCTATTGCATAGACCGCACTACAGCGAATTCTCAAAAATACCGCTATTCTCATCTTTCGCTGTCCTTCCTTTCCAAAAAAAATGTATATACAAACTTCGGCGGCAAATAACATCTTTAATAACATGTGCTTGCCTTAATCAATTTTCTAATGCCCTAAGTTAAGTAGAACATGATTTCGTAGCTAGCGCTGTTATTTCCCAAGATGTAAATAGATCAGCTTGTCTTGGACCTGTTTTTAGTGAAATGGCTTTAAAGGGATACATATCTTGGATAATGTTCAATGTGGCCTCTTTGCACACGGTGTTTGCTATTACTATATCTAGATGTAATGGAAGTTATTCATTTGTAAGAGAAAAATTCGGCTAGCTTGTTGCCCTTCTGTTTTTAAGATCATTTATTTTTGAGACACTAAAAATTTGATTTATCTCCTCTATGATCGTTACTGAAAAGCAAAACACTCACACTATCTCTTAAGTTAATTTTACAAATAAGTCTTGCTAATTCACAGCTGGTAATCTTTGTAGAAAATGTACCCTAGTTCTTAAAGCCGTTAACCGAAATTAGATGGTAGCAGTAACCATGCATGGGGGGGCACAGGTAATTTCACGAACTAGACGCACCTTTTTTCGTGTAACACGCACCCTTTTTGTGTGTATGATGATATTAGCCGATTCAATAATAAAAGCATCAAACGTATCCCAATTACTTGCAGGAAGACCTTTGCAGAGAAATGTATAAATGGCCTTCATTTCTAAAAACATTACCAATTTTTTTCACTATTATAAAGCACTGTCCTCATTCACTGACCAAAAAAAAAACTGTTATAGTAGTTTTTCTCGAATTGCCATCGCCTGTGAGAATACAGCTATGTGGGCTATACATGTTTTGACGCCCAGTCATTAGCGTTGGCTCGTTCAGGCTTTAACGAGTCTCGAAGCTGGGTTAAAAAGCAGCGTACACACCATGAGAATGCACAAGAAATAGAGTATCTGCTGTTACTCGAACGTCATCAGCCACCGAGTTAACAACAATTGCTTTGTGGTAATCGTAAAATGAAGGTACGGTCAGCATCGAATGTGCGAACAGACGGCACACTTTCAAGTGATCGATTCAAAGAAGCCAAAACGTTTCAGCCGAATTGTATCTGCTCATTTCTGCCAACGGTTGCCCGCTTGGGTCTCTTTTTTTTTGTTAATGAAAAATAGCTAGAGAATGTCGCTTCGCCCAGTTCTATCGTAACGACCCATCACAACCTCAGCTAAAAGAACATTCAGTGATTCTGGCTTACGCTACCTATTACCACTGCGTTGGAAGCTGCTTCGTTTCCGTGCGATCAATACGCTTCCCGACCACCATCAAAACTACAGTTGTTAACAAATATCAACTTGTTGTCAACGCCCCGATGCCGATGCCTCGAGTCTACTCGAGCGAGGATGTCGCGCAAAACGGTGGCAACACCCAGTTAATCTTTGGGGCACCAGTAGCCAACACTAACAATAGCTATAATGGACGCTTTAGATCCTCCTGTATCGGTGCCATGTTTTGTGTTATGTTATAGACTTTGCAGAAGTTGAGACGGGACGTTGTGCGTATGTTGCCATTGAAACAGCCCGATGAGCGAAAATGGTAACATAAAATGAAATGTTAATATAGTGTTCGTAGTCTTCAAGACTGAAACGTTTATTGTTTCAGTGGCTACAGAACAAGAAAGAGGCTGTGAATTTAAATTGGACCCGCGGGCTCAGCGCATAAAACGTATGAATATGTATTATGTATAAGCTGACATTAAAATTGATTGAGAATTTTTCATTCTCACCTAGTAAATTATAGGCGACTCGACAATTAATAACTAACTTAGGCCGGACAAGTTAACACGTTAGGAAACGTTCAGTATCTATGAGGTACTAATCTGCGGATCTGTGTAAATAGTCCGATTCTATTGCGACATCTACCGGAAAGCAATGACAGATAGGCGTCCAAATTTTACGATGGCCCGTTTATAAATTTTCTTCGATGCGGCGCTCCAGAACTGTTTACTACAGTTCGCTTATTAGGTGCGCCGTTGTCGAAAAGCCCCAGCTTTAAACAAGCTTATTATGTGTGTATATCCGCTACGAACCGACGACAGACTTTCCCTCGGCGGTATAAGCTTTCTCATTTTTTTTTTTATGTGAGTGGGCACTGAGAGCCTCGAATTCAATTTCATGGTTCAGACATTGAACAGCGCTCTTTGAATGGAAATCAAATAACATTACAATGAACTTTGTCAACGCACATTAATGTTTATCGGCCCCTGCCAAGCAAGCGATATATAACGCGTGTGTGCGCGCGTCTGCATTTTCCTTACTTATCAATATTCTTTTTAATAAGTAAAATTAATATTTCCGATACGTTAGCTAATGACAGCGATATTATATAACCCATTGGTAGGAGCTATACATATCTCTGTTTTTCGAAATGCGCCTACGGCAAGGTGGCGCATGATGAACATTTTTTGCGGATTAAGCCGTAACTATTGTACTAATGTCTAATGACGAGTTAGAGCATGAGATGGCGGCGCGAGGTCTGTTAATCTTTTCTGTAAATTCCTTTTACACGTTCTCTGGTCGGTACCGTATAGCCGTTTCGAACTGGCCATAGTAAACTGTGATGAGTGGACAAAGATTGCTAAAAATGTTCCTTAAACACCTCTCATAAAGATGGACCCCGCCCACGAAGACGCCTTTCTCGTTCATCTGAATCTGAACTGTTAAAGAATTCGACTGTTAGATCATCACTTCGACAACAGACCCTGTACGTAAAACAAAGTATTTGTGCCTGTTTGTTTGGTCGTAGTAAGAAGGACGACTAATAAGTTCCATTAAGTTACACTATAACGACGACAATAACTATGTTTATTGCTTGTTGAATGATTGACTTAGCAGATTTCTCCGACTAAACCTTCTCCAACTAAAATGCTGTTCGATCAGAAAATGATAGAATATAGTTAAATCTCAACTGCCTTACAAGGAGGGCAGTTGTTTTGTTGTTCGTTGCCCTTATATACGAAAGGTTATATCAATTTATTTCAAATATAATCCTAACTTAAATAGCGTCAAACAGTGCATTCGGGCGGGATCTTACTCGCAATATTAGTATGAGGATAATGTGATAAAATGGATTTTTAACCGATACATTGCAATGCTATTGGATATCCTCAAATCCCTAAAATAATAACCCATAAACAACTTTATCGCAAATCATTTTCTTGTTGTCCTAGAGAGCAGCTAACGTATATGATCAGCTAGAAATAGCCTGACAAAGGACGATTACGCAAACAAAATATATGTAATGCTTTTTTATGCGTAAGAATATGATTGGTAAGCGAGATTCAGATAACGTTAATGGCTGGAAACAGTGTGACTGTGATACGTGAGCATTTGCATACGGGAAACACGACAGCTAAAATGGCCGAAATCACTGCTTGTGATTACGGTGGGCAATCGTTAAAGTTGTTTCCATAATTAATTAGTTGTAAGTTGTCGTTCAGTTCGAACCGCCACCACTGCTAGTCATAAGAACCTATACGTAAGTGTACAAGAAACGCTACCATCTGACACTATCTTGTTACTGTTACAAATACAGTTTGTCCTAGGGTTGAGTAGATGAAAGCATAAGCTTACTCTAGGTATCAGTTTTGCATACCTCTATATCTATATTGTACAAATGTACGTTTGATGAAGCAAGTTACCCTTAGTAACTGCAGAGTACCTACCGAAAACGAGCGTGAGCAGATCGGAGACGGCTAGGTTGAAGAGGTAGTAATTGGTGGCTGTGTGCATATGTGGATTCTGTACTATCACAATGCACGTCGAAAGGTTTCCTACCAGGCCGCTGACAAAGATCAGCGAATAGATGACGGTCATCGGAAGAAGTTTACTCCACGCCACTTGACGAGGGCCTGATAGATTTAAAGAGATACGCAGACGAACGTTCACACAAGTATGTAGTTGTTTTTCGCAAGGACTGAAATTTCTCGCTGCCGATATTCCCAAAATCATCAGTGTGTGGCATAATGAGAGCGCACCTTCGGTGTATTACAAGTCAAAGAAATCGTTACTTCACTCAAACAATGATCGGTATGGATATGTTGGAATAGGACGTTCTAAGTGATATAATTTCAATCAAAATGTAAGAAAAGCCTAAGCGACTTAAGTTCAAGGAGCAGAACTGCTAGACATACATGAACTTAATCTGAAATAATAGTCAGTCCTTTTTTAATCTGGTGTATTGAATATTTTTCTTACTCCTTGATAAATTCAGCTAAGGCAAATAGAGATCTTCCCAAAGGGAGCGTTTGCATCGTAACTACAAACGACGTCGTGTTTGTCTGTTGCAAAAACTACAAATGAACCAAGTCAACAACAGCTGTGCCTGTTATTCAGCATCCTTGTAACAGGTGATCTTACTAAAAAATCGTGTTTACCGAGAGTCATGGCTAGATACTGGTCCACTTGTTGGCTATTGCACGGGTCTGAAAATGTGAAGTTAGGACGAAGCTGCCAAGACGGATCAACGCCACTTGTGTTAACGCCCGTCATAATGATATCGCCGTTGTCCTGAAATTCCATAACAACATGATCCCAATTGTCAGTGTTATATATATATATATATATATATAGCTGTTTCCCATATAAAACTTACTCATCCTCATAGCTTTCAACTTCGGGTAAAAAAGAAAACACAACTAAACACAACAAAGGGCCAGAGAACTGGTCATTCGCCGATATCGCAAAAGTTTTCTTTAATATCAGCCTATATCGACAGTGTACAATTTTAGGTTACATTGCCTATGCGAGATAGACGCACACCGTCGTGAATGAAAATTGGTAATCATTTGAATTCTTAATATAGGAGTCAAGCTTCGTTTTAAGATGGGTGCTTTCTGAACTTAGAACAGCAGGCAGGAGCACACCAAGTAGTGAGCTCCTTCATCTACACCAGTCAAGTCGATCATCAGAAAAACAAATCCTTGATTTTAATTTAGCTCACATAGTACTGCCATTAGCGCTTGGATATCATTAACGTACTGAGCCGGAGCTCAGGCCCTTTAACCAAGTACGAAGCAAGAACACTGCCGACTACTTGAAAATGAATCGCAAAAAGATTACGTTCAACCGCTCTCTACAGGTATTATTACACGGCTGAAGCGCGCCGCGGTACTAGCCGAGATGCGGTGTCTCTGGTTTTACCTTTGTGTGTCGTAAAGGTGTACGGTTCCAAGCTACTTTGCCAATAGACGTTTTAGCCATTTTGTAATTTTCGGTAGGTAGTGCAGAGGTTTTCCCCTTGGGATAGAAATTATTCGCACAGGCAGCAAGAAAGAGCAGTTGTTCTTTGATAAAAATCGTAATAGCCATTGCAAGGCTCAGTCCCGCCTTTTAGGATATCATTGTACGACGAAGGATCCTAGGTTGAAACAAACGCATAGTTTTCGGAGAAGCGATATAACAAAACGACACGCTGCCATCGACGCGTACCTATAAATGCTTTGTCGCGCTGAAATCTGCATAGTTTGTAGTCACTTTACGAGGAAATATATAACCTTTATTATGTTCTCTATATAAACCTACAGCACGCTACGGTTTTGGTTAGGAACTAGCATAGCGTTCAAAAACGATAATTCTTATTGCTAGGATTTTCATCTAGCACAATCTAAGGCCTCGTATACGCAGTGGGATGCGGAATAATGCTAAATTATTTATTATGGCTGAGTGGCGGATCTAGAGTTTTTTGTTCTTGAGTGATTAAGTTTTTACTTCTATCTAAAACTTCGTTGCCAAACTTTATTGAGCCTTACACGTGGCTTCTATTAATAGGACAATTTCGTAATAACAAAGATAGATCGTACTATTTTGACTGTAATAGAAAAGGCCGTTAGCTCACGGTGCGTTTATTTAGAACTGCAGTAGATGACTCCAGTCTATCGAAAATGCATGGTGTCAATGTTGTACCACAGATGGTAGCCTGGGGTGATTTTTTTTATTATGGAAAAGCAGGTATAGGCCCATTTGTTTTGAACCCTCTCAGAATGCAATTCAGAAAAGTTTTAGTAAGTGCTGTCTGCTTTTGGGTTCCGAAACAACCATTTCTGTGAAAAAAAATACCTCAGGCTGACACACCGAGAATAGAAAGTACTTCCCGAAAATAATTAATTTCGGTTTTTCCTCAATCCAATGACATGGTCACACATTCTAAATCAACTGGGAAACAAATGGCTTGTTCTTTTTAAATATTTCCTACTAAGTCGTATTTTGCGAGCGTTGAGAGGCTTAAACTCTGAATTTGGGTAAATTGAAATACAAAAAACATCCGATAATGTTATCATTGGCGTAAAAGCTCGAGCGAGAGATATCGATGTGTCCTGACAAAATGGAGTTTGTTTTACTTAAGCTTTTACCTTGTAGAGTTAGAACGCCGTCGAAAAGAGCTGGGTTCTCCTGTTTCATCGTGTAATCTCGCAAGTTGGACCAACGAATAGATGACAGTTTTGCCTCAAGTCATGTTCTGTTACTGCTTCGGCAAGCCGGCACTTTTAAAACAATGACTACATTTTTCAATATCAACTAAACTCAGCCTAATGACGATGGACAATATTCGATTAAGGTAGAGAAGAACTATAGAGCGTGCTAGTCTCACTATTTAACAGTCACATGAGTTTAGAATAGGGGCACAGACGGCAATGCGTCGTACCCCACCGACGAGATTGTTCTCGGCACGAACGGTGACATCATTGCCAGGATCCGCCATGGGCAAGAGCGGAACGACGATTAGGTGAAGACATACGTACTATGAAGAAAACTATCTACAGTACTAATTGAAACTGCCTTGCAGAATTCAGGTATAATAGTAAAGTTACCATTTGAGCCATTGCAGTTCTACACATCTGTGGACACCTACTATGACGGATCAACTGGCTGACGCTGTGGACTCTCGTAGTTTCGTTGTAGGTTTTCATGTCAACCTAAGTAATGTTGAACGCCATTGGTCATCTGAAGGTAAGCAAAAAGCATCGAATAGTAGAATACTTTTTTTCAACTTCGAGTCCTTATAACTGGGTGCTTTGCTTCATTTTCAACATGTTTTAGCAATGAACTCACTGACAATGTACGAAGCGCAACTGGTTGATCTAGACTGATCTATTGTCCAATATGAATTAGGTAGTACTTGCTTCAAATATGCTTTTTTATACATAAAAACAAATAGTTTACAACGTTTCTTCTTTCAGAGTAGCATGCTCCCTCAGTTATGCGTTAACTAACGCTGTACATATTGAACGGGTGTTTGTATAATTTACATCGGACCAGAATTTATAATGGATCATTAATGCATGCGTTTTTCCCTGTTTTTTTTTTTCAAGTAGCTCCATTTCGTTGTGAAAGTTTACCTTTGCACAAACAGAATTTTAGACTTAGATGAAAATCTATCTGGACGAGAAAAATTATCACATTGGATTAATTTATTCCTACGCACACTAAATATAGACATCCGTGTTTTGCACGTATCGTGGGTTGCAATTCAAGGAATAATACCCTTGACATTATTTTATTATGATGTTATACATATATATATATATATATATATATAGAAATGTTGCACTACAATAGGATAGAAGATGAATGAGACAGCAAAAGACAAATACAAAAAAAAAAGAGCAGAACAAAGCGTCCACTTTTAGTTTGCAAACAAACTGGTTTTACCCTTTAACTGGAGCAGCATTTATGTATATTTTACGAGGATGAACGTATCTTATTAGACTTGTTGCAGTACAACAGTGAAAAAAATGATATTTTTTACTATTGTTATGCGAACACAAAGATACTCTCTGAGAAGCGGGGTGGTTTTCACAGCTTTTCTGGACATTAGTTCTCGTGTTAACTTTAACCCGCCATATGTTAATAATTATTTTGCTACAGACTCCGAAAGTGACCTTTCTAGATACTTCAGTTGCCCTTTATACTTTTTTCGTTACAGAAAACAAAAAAAAAATAAGACGAATATGATTTTTTTGCCCAGGAAATAAAACTAAATTAGAATCAGAATTTTTCTGTTTAGTTATAGCGCTCGACTAGTACCAGGCTTACGGTTAGATGTCATATTATTGTTGCTAGTAATCGAAGGATTTCTTCCAAGAAGTGATTTGACTGTTGACGTTATCTCTCAGTTACCTAAAGGAACTGATGTACCTGTCTGCATATATTAGACGTATTTAGAAGCAGCAGTTAATTAAATCGTCAGTCTTACTCGTAGAAGAGGAAACTATTGCGGTACATCCGTCACGACCTACAGAAAAAAAATAGCGGCAAACTGCTAGGGCAACGGTACAGACGCCTGCCATCGTAACATCTCTATGAAACCTGCCTTCTATGTTCGGGAAGCATTGGCTTATTATGGAAACTTTGTAGGACCCGCCTTTTCCAATAGTCGGCAGGACGAGCTTGGGATAATTAATTATCCCATATGTCACAACCTACGTCTATCATCCAAGGATTACTTCGAAAGGTAAAAGCTGGTCGTAGAATGGTGCCTCTGCTTTTTTTTTGTTGCACCAATCGAATTTTCGCTTTCTGCACCACGTGTATAAACATTTAAAATTGTTTTATGTTTCCACCGTTTATCTTCGCAAAAGTGAAGCAAAGACAAGCAACTAGGGTGAATTCATAAGCATAGCCTTTTGCATTGAGCATTAGAAACTCGAAGGGGGCAATGAGGGCTACCCACTAACGACGATTAGATGAACTGTGAATAATTTTCGGCTCGTTGACGCAATCCCGAATTACTAGCTGGCACAGAGTCGAGGCTATTCGTTTTAACCTTTTCCAATACGGTACAAAACGGATACTTTCAGTCAAATAGCATTTTACGAGCAGTACCTGTACAGGATAGAAAAAATAGTAGCGTCTTAGTCAAGATGAAATTAATTCGTTTCTAAAGACTATTGTTTCTCTTCTAAAAATATACGTTATGGAACCTGGAAAGGCATACGCGAGATAAGGGCCTACAGCGTCTCTTGCGCCTGCTGAGATGCTTCCTTCTACTGAGTGTTCACTAAATTAGTTTCCAATTAGAGGAACGGTCCTATTCAAAGCTCACTACGTTGGAACTCCTTGAATACAGCATACTTAGACCCCCACAAGGTTAGTTTTATTGTTTTTGAATCGTAGACACCTACCTAGGCTACATTCATAGAAATGAGCGTTGTTCAAAGATTGAATTTCAACGAAATATATTGGAAGCTAACAAGAATTACTGTTTATTCAAGAACAGTGAGAGTGAACAGCTGATACTGTAACCTGAATAAATCTGAATAAACCTGAGTAAATATCTGTTCGCCACAACCACATTCATACAAAACTCAGCCATTTTGCCCTAGAGTACGTGTAAGGTTACTAACCAAATTACTTTTCCTCAACGCATTTACTCCCGCTTACCGGCAATGTGAGTGCATCGTTTCTAAGATTTACGCTGTTCTTCTAAATGCCATTGCAAATTTGGCTCAAAAATTGCGGCTAGCTTGCCAGCCCATCATGTCGTCGTGTTGACAGCCGCTTTTCGCAAAGCATTCATACACCTTCTTGTCAACGAAATCAGCTCCAGAGGCAAGAGACGCTTGAGCTCCAAAGCTGTAACAATATTCAACACTGGTGGCACCGTTCAGCCGAAGCTTCAACGTAAATATGCTTAGACAGTTCCGAACACATATCCCGTTGGAACTACATACCGCTGTATGCGTATAACGAGCGCGAGAACAAGTTCCGGCATTTAATATTAATGTTGTTGTTCCTGTAGATACCGTGACGCCATCTATCGCGAACATTTCTCTCTACCTTTACTACAAATTTGTGTACGAGAAAAGAAACAATGTCGGCATTTTCTGGTCGATCGATGTTGAGTCATTAACGTGGAGCTTGTAATAGGAAAGAAATCAAAGGACAAGGGCTGCGTGTAGAAGAAAAATGTTTTGACCGTGTCCGAAAATTTGGGAATTTTTCTGCTCATACCAGACACGGCTTCCACTAGGAGGGGATCTGTCGTTAGCTAGGTCGTACAGATAAGCAACAGCAGTTAGTCGCTTTCGGTCTTTTTGCACCTTTGGGAACTTAGGACGCTTTGAAAACCCGACCTAGATCCGCCCCAAAATTCAAATCCACTGGACTTTTATGTCCAGCTTGTCTGAGCAAGATTCCAACGAACTTGCAGGTACCCCTATTGCTTCACTAATGAAGGGTCATGCGTAATTTAGAGTCGGAGTCTTCGAAAGTAATCCGCGAGCGGTTTAAACCCCAAGTTAGAGACAAGATTGAAAATAATGCTAGCTACGTCGAATAGATACGTGCGTGAGGGTGTCCCCGTTGGCAGATGTAAAATACTTTATTCAAGTACCCCTTGTCATCTAGATACGCTTCACAAAAGGGGCACATCAACCTTGTCCCAAAATTTGTTTATAGATCAAAGCATATTTAGCATTTTCTCATTGGAGCGTATTTAGAGTGTCGTCATGCGTTTATTTACTACCTGCATAGCGACACTGTATTTGTCTTACGCGTTTTAAGTCAATTCTTAGCAACTTCACACGTATGTTTCTTCGCTAGTAACCCGTTAATAGTTAGACTGTACTCTAACTTTATGCAGCGGAACGCCAAAAACCAACGTAACGGTAGTGGGTAAATCATTAAGCATGGAATTGCTATCAAATTAGCATGTAATGAGGTGCAAGCGCGGTTCAGCTGTGAGAGAACTGTAGAAAAGATCGTTTCGATTAGAAAATCTGTAGCCTGTAAAATGTATGAGCTGACAAATGAACATATTGCAGATGCTAGATTTCAATATCCATTTATTGATTTTCTGAAGTTGATTTTCTGCAATTTTTCAAATTCAACGTACTTAAAAACGATACAGACTTTTACCAAACCGAGCCGACATAAAATCATCGAAAGAGTAAAACACCACTATCGGTATTTCAACAAACGATAGTTACGCTAACGCAAGCGTAATAACAACACAAAAATATCGACCATACACAATAAACGCGTCACAGAAACGGTCCTTAACAGAACTCAGTCTAGTAAAGATCGAACCATATGTGAGGTAATACATAAGCGTACACAATATGCATTGTGTCGCAGTTCAACTCATTAAAACAGGACGTTTCGGCCTTGTTAGGGTAGAAATTGTGCGTATCGACTTACTTACTTACTGATATCGCATATGTTCATACTTGATGACTGTTTCAATAGATATGTGCGCTTCATATAGACGTTGCGTATATAATGAGCAGCTTGTAACTTGTGGCTATCTCATAAAATCGTTTGCTTTTCGTCTATGTTATCCTCCTGATCCGGTACGTCTTCAAATTGTCGCTATTGCACCGTAACCGATGATTTTTTTTTGGATAGCATACGTCAATAGTAGTGTAATTATTGTCCTCAACAGTACGCAATGATACCTGTGATTTTAACAGCTGCTCTAGTTGCAGTAAACGGTATTTGACAAGCGGACTATTACCTTGTCTGGCTTCAATTTGAAGAGATGACGACGACGACGATGATGACGATGATGATAATAATAATAGTGCTAGTTATTTTTGCATCTAGTCCTAGTGCGAGCCGCAAGTCCTCCTTCCGCCAGCCGGCTTCTTTAGTGCTGCTGTTGATCCCGTTTTACTGAGGCCGTTCAATGATATTCCTATATGGCCGGTAGGCGTCTACCCAGGCTCTCACCCCTTCTCTCAATATATATACACAAATGTACATCTCTCTTACTGCTAGCAATGCTCATTGCATAGCAAAGGCAGCTCTGTCGCGCCGGTAGCAGTGTTCAGCTGGACATACCGAAGACACGACTTAAGTCACGATTCGTCTGAGGTTTGCGGGCATCAGTGCAGTCGAATAGGCCGACCGAATATGACGCATGCAAAACTTGCTACCGACAAATGATTGAGACACACAATTGACATAGTTTGCCTAAATTGAGGTCATTGACAAGGCGCTTC